CAAATGCTCACTTAATCATTGCAAAGCAACAAAAAGCGCATAAAAATTTCTGAAAATAAACGCTCATCAGTTCAATAATTCATCATGATGTCTTCGAACAGATTGCATCGCTTCCTTCAAAAATATTCAAATAAGCTCAACGTAGCGATAGGAATGTTTCCATATACCTATGACCAGTAGTAGTTGCCAGCTTCCATACAAATACGAGTATACCGACTCTATGAACTCACTTCATTATCGATGGCAGCAGTTCACCAATGTGAGATATATTGTTTTGCGAATTTCCAATGAGACATTGGATGCCAACGCGCCACACACCAACGATGCAACAATATGCGATAGGTAGATGCCTAAAGCAGGCAGTGGAACAGAGGTTAATGCAGTGGAAATTTCGGAAATAAACGCATGATGCAGTGGCATTGATACGCACTTGTATGTTTGTATGAAAATCAGTACATTTTGAAAACTTGCTGCCTGCATCACATCTGCGCTTATTACTCATGAGTGCGCATGTGCGTGTGCTTGCCTGAGTTATGGACCTTGTGTGGCTTGTGCTTGAAATTCATATTAGAGGCAGCAATACTGACAGTATTAGTCGCATGTAAAATCTATGTAAATTGTTTTACCAATTTGCAGATAACGAAAAACACCAAAAATGTCAATATACTGCTACCACATGTTGTTGTTGGTTCATTAAGTAAGTATGCTGTTGTTTGACGTAGTTTTGAGCTTAAGCGTATAAATTAACTTCGCCTCTTACAGCAAGTCAGAGAAAATATGGATTTGTATGGCATTTAATTCCAAGCGTTTCGTTTGACTAAGTCACCAATAAATCGAAAGTAATTTGGATAAATCTGTGTGTGATAAAACAGCTTGATAACTCTGCGAGTTACTGATTTTGCCGCCACTATCTGTTAGAAAGTTTAAATTTTTTGCTAAAATGTGAACAAAACCCATTAAATAATGACTATATCTTATCAAATTTGATCTCAACGGACTGTTCGGTTTTTTATGATCACGTAAAGTTTTATCTCCATGTGTCATAAGCTGACATAAGCGCTTGAAAATCGTCCTATCGACAGCAGAGATATAACCGAGTATTTTTGGATATCTTATATATGGACCTAAAATATTTTGTTTAATGTTTTGGGTATGAAGCGTGTCAATGACCTGCATCTTTTGCAAAAACGACGTCGAGTAGAGGTCGCAAAAGACATGCTTGAGATTGTAGCTGAGGATCCTAAATTCATCAAATGCATCATTAAAGGTGACAAGACGTGGTTTAATGAATATGAGGCAAAAATTGTACAACAATCTAATGAACGGTGTGGTTAAACATCAGGGTGATGCTCATAGTTTTCTTCGATTACCGTGGTGTAATTTAACATGGATTCATTCTACAGGGTCAAATGACCGATAAGGATTACTACTTTGGTCGTATGAAAACGGTTTTTTTTTGTTTAGTTTTTGTTTGTTTTTTTGATTTCATCAGATGCTATAACATTTTGACTTTGAAGATTCAAACCTTTCGCCTTAAAATTTTTTTCACAATTTAAACGTTCAATCTGTAGCAGATTCACAAAAATTATCAAAGATTATTATTTTAATACCATAACAAGGAAATAATGTAACGTTGGTTGTATAATTATAATCTCTTGATTTATAAGAAGAGATCTAATAGACCATGTTTCAGCTTCGTTTTTTTTTATGAAGAACAAAAACCGCTGAACCTTTTTGATATGATTTTGTTGTTTTTTTTTTTATCAATAATCCTAATTCTAAATCACTCTATAAAATTTTTTTTTTTAAATAATTTTGTCTTCTTTTTGTACAAAATAGTTTAACATGTTATCTTCCATTGCACAGGCAAATTTATTATACTTAAAGAGCACATTTATACATACATATGTCAGAAGCAATTTATGGAAATATTTTTCAATATTTATCTATTAAATAGTTTACAGCAACACGTAGTATACCATGCGACATGGCCTATTTAATGTCAGACACAATGTATAGTTCTATGCCAACATAACAAGATTAAGTCCTATTAAATTGTTACGCAACGATTTGTGTGATAACACATGTAATATAATGTCAAAGTTTATATATTTAATATATATACGCATCAGACACTTGTATATATTTACAATATTTGTTTTACTTTCCCCAAGGCAGTTCATCAGGTTCATTTAGAGCAAACATTGACCATTGCTGACATTTGCTCGAAACGATTGACCGAATTGATTGACCTATGCAAGTTTAAGGTAGCCAACAGTGAAAAGTGAAAGTAATCTTGTGAAATGCTTACACATATTTCAAATTCTTTCAATGAAAATACAAATATATATATATGAGTGGGAAAAATCTTTGCGATTATGCCAAGTAACTTGGTATGACATTTGGTCATATCAGATTGAAGCTTAGAAATATTTTTGTGGTCAAATTTATTTTTGTTGGCATACCATAAATAAAATTTTATTATTTGTAAATAAGAAAAAATAGATATAACTAACACTCTATAATAATATTACTATATAAACAAGGTTTTAATAACACTATTGGAAGACCTTAATTACTGTTTACAGCGATTCAGAAATTAAAGTTAAAATTGAAGTCCTTTTGTCTACTCTCTGCGTGATATATATATATATATATATATAATGAGTATGAAGTGGTCACCATATCCGTCACAACCAAAAATGGAAATGACCTCTTAATATCCTAAGAACAAAAAAATTCCTTTTATAACTAAATTCCATGAAAATTTTTTTCTTGTCAACTCTCATTTCATTATTAGTTTAGCATAACTATTTAAAGGATTTCGAGCGATTTGTTGGCAATTTATAAAAAAAAAGTATTTCAAGTGTACGCAAAATAAATCAAAACAAAATAATGAAAGTATGTATTCTTGCAGTAGAGGGGGAAAGTAAGCACGTGTCTTCGTCGATTTTTTTTACCTTTTGTAGACATTGGAACAATGACGATTTCGTGAATACTGCAAATGTGATTATCGTAAATATAAACAAAACCGATAAAACATGTTTTCATGCAATTGCGGGTACTCGAAAATAAAGGTCGATGTTTTCATTAATTTTTTTACATGAATTTTTAAAAATATTACAAAACAAGTAAGGAAGGGCTAAGTTCGGATGTAACCGAACATTTTATACTCTCGCAAAGTCAAATAGTATACTCGTTTGAGATTTCTTTGTGGATTGGCTGATATTTTCGGTAGAAGGTCAACTATAGGCACTGGGGTCCACATATTTAGTACTTAGGGGCTTAAACAGTTTTGGTTCGATTTAGACAATTTTTGGCCACAAGGTGGCATACTTTAATCGCATTATTCACGCAAAGTTTTATCCCGATACAGTCAATGTTGCCTGATTTGCATAGTGGAAAGTGAAATAATTAGATGGAATTTAAAATGGTGTTATATGGAAAGTAGGCGTGGTTGTAGTCCGATTTCGCCCATTTTTGCACTGTGACATAGAAACATGAAAAGAACGTTACGCACCGAATTTGGTTGAAATCGGTTAAGCAGATCTCAAGATATGGGTTTTCACCTAAAAGTGGGCTGTGCCACGCCCACTGTCTAATTTTGAACGCGGTTCCTATAAAGTCATCTCATACCATCCCAGAGATAAAATTTAATGACTCTGGCGTGTTTAGTGCTTGATTTATCGCGCTTTTAGTAGTTTTTAACAGTACCGTTATATGGGGAGTGGGCGGAGTTGCCACCCGATTTCAACTATTTTCACACCGTCAATAGAAGTGCTAAAAATATTTGCTTCCAGTGAATTTTGTTATTATAGCATTAGCGGTTTAGGAGATATGCACATTAAACCTATTAGAGGCGGGACCACGCCCACTTTTTTAAAAAAAATTTTAACTGCAGATGCCCCTCCCTAATGTGATCCTGTGTACCAAATAACAGTCTTGTATCTTATTGCGGAGCTTAGTTATGGCAAGTTATTTGTTTTTGATTAATGGCGTTTTGTGGGCGTGGCAGTGGTCCGATTACGCCCATCTGCAATACCAACCGTCTCACGGTACCATGAAACATGTCTACCAAGTTTCATAAAGATATCTCAATTTTTACTCAAGTTAGAGCTTGCACGTACGGACGGACAGACGGACAGACGGACGGACAGACGGACGGACGGACAGACAGTCACCCGGATTTCAACTCGTCTCTTCATCCTGATCATTTATATATATATAACCCTATATCTAACTCGATTAGTTTTAGGTGATACAAACAACCGTTAGGTGAACAAAACTATTATACTCTGTAGCAACAGGTTGCGAGAGTATAAAAAAGAGAGTTATAAATAATTTGGTTTTGGAAACATTATTTTTGGTAGATATTTAAGAATATCTAAACTATCGAAATATGAAATTTTTTTTTTTTAATTTTTGTACAAGAGCACACTCTTAAGTTGGAGAACGGCTTAAACAGTTGATCGAGTTAAATGCCACTGAATTAAGAAAGTTAATGGAGGGTCGCACAGGGGTTTATAGACTTTCAAAGTTAAAAGGAAAATACTGTATGGCATTATTTATTAAAAATAAAAGCCTTTGGTTTATTTTACCGGAATCACTCACAATTTGAATGAAATGTTTACATATGTGTATGATCAGCTTTAAAATTTCACTCGATGCAATTTTAGATCATTATCGAAATTTATTTTACCAGAGCATTTAACCAAATATAATATATTACAAAAAGCTAATAATCCCTGCCTAATATTATATTAATACCACTTTAAAAATTTATAAATTGTTAATAATTTATAAAATATAGTTGTAAAAATGTTTTAGTTAAAGATTTATATTCGCCCTTAAATCTCAATTTTTTTTTTAAATAACCTTTAAGTTTGCAACTTCATAGTTTTTATAAGAGAGTGTACTTCTCGATAAAAATATATTATATGTCTCTTAGTTATATTTTTTTTTTGCTTTGGTACTCATATTCTTAACTGTCTATCACTTACCTCTTTCATCGATGCTATCACCTTTATAGGTGCGCAAACGGTGGGATAATTTATCTCTGCTGGTGGTTATTTCGTCGCTAAGATGTATACTTTTGTGCGAATTTGTGCTTGAACTAAATTTTATTTATGTTTTTCGATTTTTTTTATGTTATTTCGATTTTTTAAATTTTTTTTACGATTTTTTTTTAAGTGCAACAGGTGAGAGAAATGTACAGGGCATAGCATAGAAGAGATAAATTAAAATAAAATATATAGAAATTTGCAGACTAATTAAGTACTTAAAATTACTGAAATGCAAGTGTGTGCTTAGTAATGAAAACTTGGCAATATGTGACTAAAGTGAGTTATGTAAATAACTGTAGAAGTCATAAGTGAACAACGGGATTTAAAATTCTATGAAATTATCTTGTATCTGTATTATATTTAATCAATTATAATTTTTTTAAATTTAATTCCATATATAATCTTCATTTTATTTAAATGACGATTCCAATTTTGAAAATTGCTTACAATATTTTATGTATCTGTTATTGCCTTGTATATGTTGATGAAAATATCAAAAAGCTAAAAGAGCTAATAGCAAAAAGGATTTTCTAGCCGCCATTTGGGGAAACTGAAAGAAGCAATAAATTTTCTCTCTCAAATTTGCCTTATTAATATGGTAAAAAGTTTTGACTTTTAGGTTATGTAACCTAAAAGGTTTTGAACTACTCTCTGCTGTCACAAGGTTGTTAGCTCCACTAAAAGGCTTATGCAGGATATTTTATATCGTTTTGTTATAAGCGCCTAAATGTAGGCAGCCTGACACTACATACAAGTAAGTTAACTAAGAAAAACAAAAAAAATTAACAGGTATGTAAGGACCTTGGAAAAAGTTGCGCGAGTAATCTTTAAAGCGAGTACACCCGAATTATACTCTATAAGGTACAATTTGTACTAAAGTAGTCTCCAACACATGTCTTCAGGATACAATTTGGTATTATTTAGTACCAAACAAATATATTTAAGGTATATTTAGTTAGAGATTAGTTAAATCTTTCTTTACATTTCTCCTCAATGTTACCATATACAAGAAATTGCCCTTTTGTACGATTTTTTACCATTAGTCTCTTAGGTCTCAGTACGCTTTCGAATGTAGCAAGTATATTCGAACAAAATATTTTGTTTCATACAAAATGAACAAAAGTGCCATTAGCCACATGTTGCTTTGGGAGTAATCGTAGACTTATCCTGGGCTTATCGCATTTTTTGAGGGAAATATAAAAATTAAATACATATTAATTTTGAGCCTTTAGATATATACAAGTATATAATCCTTAATTTTCAGACTTTCTTAAGACAAAAAGTTTGAAAGATGCAAATTTTCATAAATTTTCTTGCGAAAAATCCGAAACTATTTAAATGAGTATTTGGATACCTCAAAAATCTGCTTTCAAATTCCAAAGTTTCGCATTTTTTTTGTTTGTTTTTTTGTTTATGTTTGAGTTCTTCTCTATGCTGACTATTCCTAAATATTCTCCATGTACGAAGTAGAACTCAACACATTTATTAAAAATCTTCCGGAAAGCGGATAAGTAATGATACCGTTACTGTGTGGTACTGGTATTTATCTGCTTATTGCCCTTGAAAGTACATTATTTTTGATATTCTCTTCATTACCTTAGATTTTAATGCATCCTTTTATACAATACATATACGCCTTTATACTAATATTCGGATGCAAATCGCTTTTAAATATTCTTCAAATTAACCTTCTACACTTGCTTGCCGGCGAACTCAAGTGGCCGACGTCGCAACCTTTGGCAGCAGTGTTAGCACTGCACTTCAAATATTTCCACTACAAACTTAAACACTTTGCCATTTGAATAATTAAATTTGACGATGGGAACTTTAAAATTTCATAGAATTTTAATGTCTCGACATTCACTTCTCCACATAGTACATATATACACAGAATATAGTAGTTGTATTGGTGCGTTGCTTGAGTGCTCTTTGCAGCGAGTTTTCATGGTTGAGATTGTGCTAAAGTGTGTGTGTGTGCGTATGCGTGTGTTTGTGCCTTAGTAAACCTTATATTTGTTATAAGCATACACTAGTACTAATATATTTATATACATATCTACAATATATTTATATAAAAATACACACACATACACACAAAGTGCTTGTGCTAGCTCACATACATTGCAGTTTTTTGGTGCTTTTTGTTATGGTGCAGATGTGTCGGTGGTGCCGGAAGTGCAGACTCTGGTACCGAAACCGTGGCGGGTGATGTGGTATAAGTGAAACCATCAAAATACTCGTGCATTTGGTGCATGCCATGGTTGCTATTACTAATGGTGATTATGTTGCTGCCGCTGCTGCTGCCGCCGCTAAGCTCCGTTATGGACTCATCAAGCGCGCCGGACGCACCGAAACCAAAACCAACACCACCACCAACACCAGCGTAGTGCCGACCAGTGTTAGTGGTGTCCACCGAAACCTCAACATCATCACCATCAGCGCCATCGCCGACGCCCGCATTGCTGCGTCCATCCTTTTCAGCTTTCGACGCCATTTGTTGGCGCTGCCACTGTTGCTTTTGCTCGGTCTTTTGACGGCCACGCGCCGCCACATCATCACCCACCTCGAGCAACGATTCATCTTCGTCGTCGTAGGTGTGGGGCGAATGCGAGGCCAACACTAACGGATTGTTGAGTCCCCAAGAGGGCGGGTGCAGGTAATGCGGATAATTTGAATAGATTTCAGCGCGTATACGGTCGTCGTAGTCGTCCTCCTCTTCGTCGTCGGTGGCAATGTTGTTCGAGAGCTGTTGTTGACCGGTGCCATTGGCGGCTATCAATGAGTTCGACGACGATGACGACGACGACGCTGAAGATGATGATGTGCCATTGTGGTGTTGCTTTTGTTTTTGCTTGAATTTCGGTATGGCGCCATCCGGGAAGAATATTAATCTATCTGCAAGAGAGAATTTAGATAGAAAGACAAAGAGCAGTGCTTGGTGCGCATAAGTACACTAGTGCAAAGGAAATTCAATTAAGTTTAATGCAAACTGATATCGAAAATGAAAAGTTGCGAAAAAGGTGTGCACTTGTATTGCGTATATATGTATATATAGTTAAAATATTTTTATAAAATATATATACAAGTATATTCGTTTAACCGTGCTGCTTTGGTGATAGCATAGTTCTGGTGCAGTGCGACGTTAGGTGCAAGAAATGCTACCTGAAACAAATAGTGCGAAAATATCTAAAACAAAAATGCAAAATTATCAACACAAAATTAATGAACAAAAAGTTTGGATTTTAAGAAAATTAACAACAAAAAATCATTTACGAAACATAATAGAGTTTGTTTTAAAAATTTGTGTTAGTTAGAGAGTGTCTGTGCATTGGTGCGTGCTGTCGAAAGCGTCAAAGCGGAAAAAGACCAGCGGAGATCGATTTCAATATGATCTTAATATTTACAATAAAACATTTGATGCATTATGTTCAAAGTGCCAAAAGTGTATTTCATAAACAGCAAACGTAAAACACAACGATAATTTGGTTAATCTATGGCTTTAAATTTATCTTCTGATACACAACTTTTAATAGAAACTTTGGGAGGGAGAAATAAAAGTTTGTCTTTGACAGTTTTTCGATTGATTGACTCAGTAGGTTGTGAGCGCTCGTCAGAGATGGACACCAGCAAAGAGAAAATTCGCTATATTTTGCAAATTTTTCTTCGATCAAGGCGAAAAGTAGCCAAAGCGACTGAAAAAATTAATTTAGTTTATGGGCCCGATACTGTAAACGAACGTGTAGCACAAAAGTGATTTGCTAGTTCCGTTCCGGTAATTTCGATGTCAAAGATGCACCATGCGTCGGGAGACCTGTCGTCGAAAATTGCGATAAAATCATGGAAATAGTGGAAACAGACCGTCACGTGAGCACTTATTTAATTGCTGAGGAACTAAATATAAGCCTGAAAACCGTTTGGAACCATTTGCATAACCTTGATGTTTGGGTGCCACACGAACTAACGCGAAAAAACATGATGGACCGAATTTCTGTGAATCGCTGCTGAATCGCAACAAAATCGACCCGTTTCTGAAGCGGATTGTGACTGGCGATGAAAAATGGGTTACTTACGACAACATCGAGCGCAAACGGTGGTGGTCAAAGCTCGGAGAAGCGGTCCAGATGGTGGCCAAGACCGGATTGTCCGCTTGAAGGCAGCACTCATCCAGGAGAGGCCATCTTTGATCAACAGATGCCGAATTGTGTTCTATCAGGACAACGCCAGGCCACACACGTCTTTGGTGACGCGCCAGAAGCTCCGGGAGCTCGGGTGGGAGGTCCTAATGCACCCACCTTATAGTCCGGACCTGGCACCAAGTGACATTCTTTTCCTGTCCATGGCGAACGCTCTTAATGGAGAGAAGTTGGCCTCAAAAGAGGTCTGTGATAATTGGCTCTACGAGTTTTTTGCCAATAGGGACGCAGCCTTCTACGACAGGGGCAAAATGAAGTTAGTATCTCGTTGGAAACAAGTTTACGAATAAATCGGACAAATGTACACAAAGTTATCATCTTTTGAAAAATCAATAAAAAACCGAATGAACTTTTTACTTGAAAGCTTGAATATGTAAGCTATATACATAATGAAGCAAGTAACAGAACAGCGATGAAAACAGTAGCATAAACGCCAGGGACTCACATGCTAATATTGAAATTGATAAAAGCTTGTAAGGTATAAATAGTTTTTTAATATGTTCTCTATACATACTTGTATATTAAAAATAATAATATTTGATACAGGTCCCGATATCATATGTGCATATGTGTGTACTCCTACTATATTGCCTAAATGAAAAACATTGGGGAAAAATTTATATTTCTGAATAACAATGCTAATGAATAAAAATGCCACATGCTTTTCGCTTCTTTTTGGTTTTGGAACAGTGGCTTGGAAAATGGTATTTATAAATACTTAAGACACATTTTTGAATAGAAAAATTATTATTGTAGTAACAAAATTTTTAAGTGGAGTATAACAAACGGGCTATTTTTCGCAATGTTAAAGTTATTACTAATAACTTACTATTTTATTTTAATTTCATATTACCTTAATGTATATAGATCAAGCCGCTCAATAGAAACTGGTATAATTAGTAAAACTAACTTTGTGCAAGCTGTAAGTGCAAGATATTCTACAGTTATTTATGCAAACTCAGCTGCTCAAAGGCATTCATACCTCGAACAAAAACACACACAGACCAAATTTCTAGCTTTATGTATATATATATGTATGTATGTATGTATGTGTGCAAGCGAGTTGTCCAAACTGTTGGTACGCTACGTTTATATAATATATGATACATAGGTGAATTTCCGTATAGAATTTTCCGCTTTTTCACAATTTGAAGTTCTAAGTGTCAGCAATATGAATGTAATGCGACAACAACAACAATAATATAAAGAAAACACACATTCGCGAGAAGATGTTATGCCAATCAATACGGAAAAGCAAACCAATCACTGCCGTTAACTATGAGAAATGCTGTACATAAATTGCGCCAAACGCACACATAAAGTTATGCACTCATTCATTTATATATGTAAACATTAGGGTGGGTCACAAAAAAAAGGATTTTTTTCCTGGTACTCTGAAAAATTGGTTCTTAGACACCTCTACGTAAGTATGAGCTCTTAATTCTAACGGGATTGGCAGCCTTTTAATTTTCCGATAGAAAAAATTTATATCTCGTTACCAACAACTTACTGGTCTCTTACGATTTTTTCGTAAGCCGTTTAAAAGATATTAACGTTTGAAGTTTGATTATTTTAAGGCAAATTTTTTTTCTTATGTATTTTATAAGTCAATAAAAAAAATCATTTTAAATTGCAAAACTCTCAGTTTCGTAGGAAATTTACTGCTCTGCAATATGGTCTTTTATAATTCTTCTCTTAAGTTAAGCGTTTACGAGATATCCAACGTAAAAAATCAAGGAAAAAAAATATTAAAAAAAGAAATAAAAAAATAAAAATGAAAATGAAAATAAAGGGATAATTTTTAGAGCGTTCTATTTCCCACAAAATCTTTGTAACAAGATATTTTATCAAGTAGTTGGAAACGAGATAATAATTTTTCTATCTGATACAAAAAAAAAAATAGAAAACTGTAAGGCGGATGACCTTCCAGTTGCAATTAAGAGCTCATACTTGAACAGATTTTTGTAGAGTTGTCCCACCCTAATACACATATGTATATATTATACATATAAATTAGGGTGTCGATTATTACCCAAGTAGAGTTTTTGTTTGTAAACGGCCCCTGAAGTTTGAGGTTTTGACTTAAAACACATTATCCAAAACAAGCTATACATCAAGTCTACAGAGTATTCATACAAGTCCTTATAAATTCTGTGTTCCGCATACAACATGGTGTTCTGTATGAATACTCATTTACCGAACTAATACTTAGCCTCAGTTTATTTGATGTATAACTTTAACTGCGCATACCTTCAATGGTGCGGTTTTATGGAAAAAAGTTTGTGGAGCGAAAGGACTAGTACTAGAATATTATTTTTTCAAGGTTGTAGATTAACGTATTTTGTGCGAAAAAACGAAAGTCGCATGTTATATACATGAGAAAATTTAATTGATTAGGCAACTGTAACCTTAGAGGGCGTTTGCATAAAAAAATCGATTTGAGAAATAACGGACGCCCTACGGTGAATGTATACTCGTAGAGTATAATAGTAAATATTTCTGTGCGTTTAAATGTGACCAAGGTGTTTGTAGTTGACTTATGTACTAAGGTGAGCCAACATGTTGACATATAGCGTCTAACGATGCTGCTGACAGCAAGCGGGCAAGCGAGTGAGCGTGCGAAGAGGCTTACATTGCAAAGAGAATACGAAAGCAGCGGAGAAGAAATGCTTAAAGTGTAAATTTAGATGACTGATGCAGTGTCACAGATGCAAAGCAGGCATGTGAAAGCGAGCAGATTGAAATAGTGAAGTATATAGGTCTGTATGTTAGTGATGTGATAGAATTCAAAGAATACTTGCAAGAAAGCATTGGTGGCAGTTTGGGTGGACGAACAAGAGTTGCTAGGGTGAACAGGTGATACAGCAGTGCGGGGAAATTGTTTTGATTGAGTAAGTAGAGTGCAGGATGCAATGACAGCGAACGGAGAAGCATAGTAACTTAAGGTTAGCGAGCTGGCTGTTGGCAGATGCGTGTGTGTGTGCGTGAGCGAGTGATTTGTGTATGCATGGCAATGTGGGCGATAATGGCGAGCTGGTGGAGTGAGGACGGTGAGCGTGATGCGAATACGTATACGTGTGTTGAGGTGAAAGTGAGCAAAACTGCCAGATTTTGGATTTTTATTTCAAACTTCTATTGCAGTTTTTTCTTTTATTTTGTTTTGTTTTGCGGTGTTTGGTAGGCTACATAGTATTAGTATTGGAGTATTAGTAAGTAGGTAGTCTTAAATTGAGTCGCATAGTTTTGAGTTGATGCAGAAGCGTGCGATTGTTGGTTGTTTACTTTTTAAAAAATACTTTATTTCTTGGAAGCGATTGTATGGTAAAATTCAATGAGTAAGAAATACGAAGTAAAGTAAAGGAACCAAATGTAGGAGAACGAAACTGAAAGAAATTAAAATTTAAAAAATTAAAACAACAACAACATATAATCAATGAGGTAGTCAAGAGTGGTTAGATTACAAAAGTTTACACGAAACGCAAAACATAAAAGGAATACATAAAAATTAAAAATTTTTGAAATCATTTAACTTTTGTAGAGACAATTTAAATTACTTCACATTTTAAAGCTTATTCTTGTTTTTTTTTCTGGCTTTTTATTTGCGAATTTTTCATTTGCTGTTTTCGGTGCAAAAATCATATTTGTTCCTTTACTTTGACTACTTTTTTTCGGTTTGCTTATCCAAAATGAATTCATTGCAAAATAACTTGTTTACGCTACTCTTGCACAATTTACGCTGTGCTGTTGGCAAATGGTTGCTTTGCAGTTGTTTGCTTATTTTTTACATTACTTCAATCTATTTTTATTTGCTGCTTGTTATGTGTACTCTTCTTGCTTTGCATGGCTTTGCGTTATTTGTAGGTTTACTATTTTTTTTTTGTTTCTGTTTTTGCTTTTGTTTGTAACTTACCCACACACGGATTGTGATTAACTATATTAAATATACGATCACAGCGTTTTTTCATATGATTATTCGGACAGATACAGCCGAACATGGGCGAGAGGCGTAAATTTGTCCACGAGTCGTGACAAGCATCTCTGTGTTGGATGAAGAGAAGATATGCGATTAATATATATATGCAAATTTGTATAATGAAATAAATAAATTATATATTTATATCATATTTATAATAATTATATGATTTGTTTTAATATTTTTTAAGCAAAAAATTTCGGCTAGGTAAGGTTTGTATTGAAAAGTACGGCCAAGCCGCCTCTATCTAAGTAAATTATCCTTAGGTTCTGAGGTTGCTTGGATCGGAGAAATTATGTTTATATCAAGAAATATCAGATGATGAACCTTATCTGGATCAAGACAATAAATATTTCCATTTTCATATGCAAGCTTCGGAAAAGCTGACAAAAGACGAAAATAGCATTCTACTACCACAATTTCTAAAGATGTTACCTTCTAAAATAACTCTAAAATATATGCCAAACATCATGTGGCAAGTTCTACGATATCCAGCCTGAAACATTTCTGAAACGTTTACGGAGGATAAACAAGCGGTATCGAATTATGTTTAGTATAGCCTACTTGTAGTACTTGCCAAGCGAAATATAATGGAAATAAGCCAGAAGCTGCACCGAAGCTATAATACCCTTTATAGGTACATTTCTTATAGCATAAAAGAATATAATAAGATATTTATCTTGATTTTGGCGGCTATATGCTATAGTGTGCTGATCAAAAAAAATTTCTTTGGATATTATAGATAGATACTTTCTTTTTTACTATGCAAGAACTTGATTCTGATCTGTCAATTTATTTGGCAAGAATGTATATGCTATAGTGATCCAATAACGGTGCCGTCGTCATATGAGCAGCTTCTTAGTGAGCAAAAAAATAATAATTTTCTGTAGTAAATAAAAATTCTTAATTAAAATCACTTAATGCTAAATCTTTATCAAAATCAATTTATATAATTTTCAGGTTTTTTAAACCCTTTTCAATTTTTTTAATAATATGTATGGCTGAGAAATTTTATTGAATATCCACAAACTTTTTTATTTTTTTTATTCGAATAAAAAGAAGTTTTGTATTCTCCCTTTACTTCTAATATTATTTGCTTTTCCGCTTTATCCGGAAGAGCGGTTTTCATTTGCCGCTCCGCAGTCAAACACACAGTGATATATCTTAGTTATAAGAATATTTCATAGCACCAATTTGTCCAACTATTCAAATATGATGCACTCGAGCACAAGTTACTTGCTGCTATAAAGCGATTCACTCGTAATTGAGGGTAGCAAAACTTTTTCATAACTGCCAGCGACAACTACACACACACACCAATACATACAAACAAACAAACGCAAGAGAACTTTCACTCTTTCAACTGCGACTCCTTTACTTATATGACTTTAGTGACCAAATTTGCCGAGCATTTTTTTCAGCACAACTTTTTCCATTTGGCTCTGCAACGTAATCGCCAGTGTGTTGTGGTCTGAGGTTAGCCAGCGTTCTTTCCAATCAAATTTCAATTAGAACTGAATGTAAGGGGTGGCGCTGGCTATAACTTTTTATGCGCAAGAGAATATGCATGTGTATGCGTGCGTAGTAGAAAGCGTAAGCGTGCAAATCTAAAGTTGAGAAGGTCCCAAATACATACACACCGACACCCATTTACTTACATTGGATATCGGGCACATACAACTATACCATATACAATAAATTATTCAGTCATCGCATCCGCATTTCCAGCATTATGTTGCATACAACGTCTGCAGCGCAGCTTCGGATGTAAATGGCAAGTTGCTGGGGGATCGCCGTGGCATGGCATCGGCAAAGTGCTAGTGAACTCAGTTATGAACTCGGAAACTTTATTTTCACCCTATGCGAATTCTCGAGTGCGGGTATGACTGCAGCGCCGAAAAGCGAAAAGAGAGCAGAGTATTGAACACTGCCGCCGTGGCAGCCAAAAGCACAGAGTGGGAGTGTTGAAGCCTTGCATTGTAGTGGTTCCACTGATTGTATGTATATGTAGGGAGGCACTCTCATAGCTGTTGGCACTACCCCGCCTATTAATAATGTAGAATTCATTATCGATGATAATAATTGATTTTAATAGTTGTTGAGTAGTACAGCGACTTGTTGCCTCATGAATGGCGGTGCGAAGTGCGAGTAGTGTCACAGCAGCGAATGGATTCGAAGTGTGGCAGCAGTGCCGATGGATGGGCTAATTAACTGCGGCTTGTTGACATCGAAGTCGACGGCGCCCATGGCAGAGCAAAGCAAACTGATTGAACTTAGTGTAGTTTGTTTGCAATCACTATTAGTTGTGCAGACAGTCGTGCAAAAGTTTGAATGTGATAAGTTTTGTTGATATGCAAAAGTAATAAGTGTCGAACTTCATGTCTTTTATAGAGTTTGGAAATAAAATATTGCGAGAAATGTGAAAAATTTTGAGTTGCAAAAAGAAATTGGCTGGAGCACATGTGGTTTTCGGTACATTTTGGTGTGTGGAGAATTGTTGATCATAGCAGCTTCGATTGGTAGCAAACCAGATGGTTGTTGAAAATGAAAGTCATAAATTCTATAAGTGAGATTTATAAGTTTCACAACCATAGAGTATTCGAATTTTTTTGGAAAAAATGTTAGCAGAAAAGTAACGACAGACTTGCATCTTGATAAGAAAAGGACTAGGATATAAAAGTTGCTGGGGTTCACGGGTCTCAAGCGTGTGGTCAGCCCAACTTGAAGACCATTGCTAACAAAATGTGCCTATCTAAGGTGTATATAGTTGGATGTCGGTTTCTTTCTTGTAATAAAAATTCAAATTTACTTATTTAGACTTATATTTTTTGTAAACGTTTTCCTCTCTTAAGCTAATTCAGCGGTCAGTTTATATGCCCTGGGCCTTGGGCAATAACCCGTGCCAAATTTGATGAAGATATCTCGTCAAATGAAAAAGTTTTTGATAGAAGCGCTTTATTTCGATCGGTCAGTTTCTAATAAACGTACTTGGAGGTGAAGATTTTGCGTCAAATGCAAAATGACTTTAATATATAGCGTCTACAAAAATGTATGACGTGATTTTGGTAGCTCGTGGAGGCCATGGTTGTTTACGGATTTGTGTCAAATTTTGTCAGTGTTTTCAGTAACGTTTGCCATTTCCTGATGTCACGTTTCACTTTGGTACAACGCTTGCAAATTTTCCAAGATTATTACGCAAATTCAAGTTCACCGGTGGCTTTGGTGCGTATTGTGGCATGGCGGCATCATCGAACCTTATTTGTTTCGAAGGCAGGAAATTCCGTTACCATCAAAGCGAGCGTTTTAACACGATATTGAGCCGTTGTGGTCATTTGGGTGACATTATGTACAAATCAAAAATGGCATACAATTATCTACATAACAGAAAACCCTAATTTGAGTGTTTTATATAATTTTAACATCATGGCGTTTTTGTTGGTAGACTCCTTATAATAAATATAGCTTCAGAGAAGCAATATTACATAATCAAAAGTAAATAATGAGAGTACCTAGAGATAAATGCAGATTAATAATGCCGTTGCACAATAAATGTTGCTGGTTGGTTTGAAGGAGGAAGTTTAGAAGATGAATAACACCAAGTGACCCTAATAAAACCAGCGAGCACGCCCATTTTTCTCCTTTATATTCAACTTTATTACATAACAACGTCCCAACGAACTTTCTAAGCTCATGCCCGGCACACTACCAATTTCGTTTAAATACATCTAGGCCTTAATGCAAACTTTACTTGAAGAGCATATAGTCCATAAACTATATTTTGATTAATATTACACCTATGAACACAACGGCTGCTTTCGAAAATTTTAACCTGAGGACAAGACAATTTTCTTGTGAACTTGCAAACTTGTTTGTTTTTGTGTACAACTTCATATCGTAATTAGAGTTTTCTTTTCTCTTTCTTAATAAATTTGATCGATTTAGATTCAATTACCTGCTCTCCATTTTGCACTTATTGTCTCGCACTTTACAGTGTGCCTTGAAATCCTCGAAAAGCTTGAGGCATTTGCGCTCCTGCTGACATACAGACAGTGCGTGATTGCACGTCGGCAATGCATCTATGGGATATGGATCTTTTTCGGCTGCAAATGACAAGAAAATAGATTGTTAATTAAAAAACTCTACAATATCTACTAGAAACATATTTAAACTATATAGTATATGTATGCAATAACAAATATTTACAAGCATCTTTCACCAGAACTTCTTGACTTTCTCTTCAAAGTGAATTAAAGAGTTAAGCACACATCTTTTTTGGTTATAGTTAAATCTTTTACACATCAGCTCAACACACACGCATATATGCTTGGTGGGCTTTAACAATTTCATTTTCTGTAAAACAGTATACACATATAAATTCAGACACACACACACTCTCAACTATGAATTTGTTACTGAAGAAAATTGGCATTTTATAGTCAAGCTTATGTGTTAGCGCCGTCTGTTGCCGCACACTTACGACGAAGCTGCCGAGCCATTAGACGGAAATTACTTTGAGGTACTTGAGCTTTCTTGCTTCCTTCTACCACCACAGACACACACCTGCATATGCATATATTGTTGTTGTTGCTTTGATATGGAAAATGTAAAATTGCGTAAAGCAGGCAGGATCCAAAATCGAATTAAGGAGAAAAATCGTTTTCTTCATGTATTCCGGTAGGAGCATTTAGATATGTGTCATTGTAGATTAGTCTATGATTTTACTATTTCTTATATAAAAAAATTCACAGCTATATCAACTATATAAAGACTGTTATCTAAAGAAATACAGGCATTACTTCCTCACTAAAATGCTCTTTACATTAGACCAGGGTATCAGAAACTGCCCTGCTTGGTTCTTGGCCGCCAAGTTGGCGCAGTATTTTTGAGATGGAATCCACAAAATATATATAGACATAGACCCAATGCTCCATAAGCACTTAGTTATCAAAATAGAATTTTCTTAATATGAACGGAACTCAATAGATTGGTGCAGAGCAATGTTTGAAGAATTTACTTCTCATAAAAAAATCTGTAATTTTAACAGCTTGAGAAAATTCGACATAAGGTTTTTGAGTTCTAATGTTTCAAACATTGTAATTTATAATTTTCTGAGTCTTGATTAATTAAAATTTATTATAGATATAAAATTTTGTGTGAATTTCATACCAAAATGTTGTTTTTAGAGCTTGAATTGACTTAGACCATTTTCAGAATTAACTGAATGACCATAACTGACTTAAAGTAATAAAAAATTGTGATTTTTACTTGAAACAACAACTTTAACGAAATAATTCATAAACAATTATTAATTATTTTTAAAAAGTAATCCATTTTAATCATAATTTCAAGTTTAAGATTTTTAAAATTTTCCTGAAAAACTGGAGGGATGTATGGTAGTCAACAAATAAGCTCTTTATGTTATCGTGTATTCTTTGCCACTATTTCTCTTAATTTTTCTAATATTTTGTGTGTAACTATTTACATTTCTTGCCGTGTTTTCTTTGCTTATCTTTTTCTATCAGCACCATTTTTATTGTTTCATCTTGCACCATTTCTGGGGTTTCTAAATTTTCAGTGATGTCTTGGTATGATTCATCTGAAGATGATAATTGCCTTATTCTTTTGCATTTCTTCAAATTGTTGACTTAGACCACTTTCATAATTAACATTAAATGAAAACCGTATAACGTTGTAATTACAACTACTATCTAAAGGTTAATTTTTGAGGAAATTACATTGAATAAATTTAGTTTAAAACCATGTCGTGTGAAATAAGTGTAAGTGGGAAATAAGTTACTTTTTTTTTAATTTTGACTTATACTATGTTCGCACCAAATTGAAATCCTCTTGAAAACACAATTTGTGGATTGTGGAACCAAAGTCGTTCTGACCGACATTGTGTGTTTTCGATGAGTTTTTATTGACAGTTCACACATCTATTTGTTTACATTTGTTATGTACCCGCCAAGGACAGTGACGGTCATCTGATGGATAATATGACAGTCATAGCTGATAAAATTTTGTCAGCGCGCAGAACAAAGTTTCTATCATTTTCTTAAGAGAGTTTGTTTAGTTTCTTCTGAGTCATTGCTGACCATAAATCCGCAATAAAATTATGACTGAAACACTATCAGAAGTGAAAAAATCTTTTGCGCAGTAGATAATATAATTTTTATTTCTTTAATAAATTTCAAACTTTTAATCAAAATTAGTTATAATAATATTCTAAAATATAAAAAGGAATGCAACAAAAAATATAATAAAATATGAAAATATAAAAATAAATTTTCACTTGATGCCATCTCCTCCTCACAATAGCTCTGCGTACGTCTTTCTCCAATCAGTGGATAGTTCTGAATTTAAAAATACAAATGTAAATTAACAGTACTGACATATCAAATGTTAGTGTATTGGTGAACTCATCACTAGTTTCTTGTACGGTACGCTTAGGCCAATTATGAAATGTAAACAAATTGTCAACTGACATTTAGGGCTGGCAAAATATGTCTGCTAATAATATCGATTGAACTAGAGCAGGCACCGATTATAATGAGTGGAATGTAAGTTTTCAAGGGGTTTCCAGCGAAAACTGTGTTTTCGTTTGACACATTTTGTATGGATGAAAACACAGTTTTCGCGTGAAAACCTCTTTTGTCTATGCAAACACGAATTTTGTTTCGGTGCGAACATAGTATTAGACTACTTTCATAATTATGGGCACATTTATGAACGATTTATTATACTCTCGCAACCTGTTGCTACAGAGTATAATAGTTTTGTTCACCTAACGGTTGTTTGTATCACCTAAAACTAATCGAGTGAGATATAGGGTTATATATATATAAATGATCAGGATGAAGAGACGAGTTGAAATCCGGGTGACTGTCTGTCCGTCCGTCCGTCCGTCCGTCCGTCCGTGCAAGCTCTAACTTGAGTAAAAATTGAGATATCTTTATGAAACTTGGTAGACATGTTTCTTGGTACCGTGAGACGGTTGGTATTGCAGATGGGCGTAATCGGACCACTGCCACGGTACTGTTAAAAACGGTACTGTTAAAAACTACTAAAAGCGCGATAAATCAAGCACTAAACACGCCAGAGACATTAAATTTTATCTCTGAGATGGTATAAATTGGCTTTACAGGAACCGCGTTCAAAATTAGTCAGCGGGCGTGGCACAGCCCACTTTTAGGTGAAAAACCATATCTTGAGATCTGCTCAACTGATTTCAACCAAATTCGGTGCATAACGTTCTTTTCATGTTTCTATGTCATAGTGCGAAAATGGGCGAAATCGGACTACAACCACGCTTACTTCCCATGTAACACCATTTTCAATTCCATCTGATTCTTTCACTTTCCACTATGCAAATCAGGTAACAATGATTATATCGGGGTAAAGCTTTGCGTGAATAATGCAATCAAAGTATGCCACCTTGCGGCCAAAAATTGTCTAAATCGAACCAAAACTGTTCAAACCCCTAAGTACTAAATATGTGGACCCCAGTGCCTATAGTTGACCTTCTACCGAAAATATCAGTCAATCCACAAAGAAATTTTAAACGAGTATACCATTTGACTTTGCGAGAGTATAAAATGTTCGGTTACATCCGAACTTAGCCCTTCCTTACTTGTTTTTAAATGACATTGGTACGACAAACATAGCTCTACAGAAGTAGAAACACAGCTGGAAGTCTTACAAGTATATAAAAAAGAGCGCAAGTCCAGTAAACATATTCAAACTGCATTGATGTTTGAATAAAAATATTTCGAAAATGTTTTTTCTATGCGACTATATTTGTCTTTTGTCTCTGCTTTTATGAACTTTGCCGAAGTCACATGCATATCAAAACTAAGTTCACATGCTACTTCCATAAACATATGCACATACTTTTATCAGCCAGATATTGCAGCAACTGTGCATCACACAATCACCGCTACAATGTAAAGCGTTTGTCTAGCTTTCCGCCACATTCTTGCCATCGATGCTTTGTTTCATTTGCGGTACTTATGTACAACGCTTGTTGCAGCCACAATATGCATTTTTTTTATGAAATTTTACTGTTACCACTGTTACCTACCGCCGCTATACTAACATCGATGGCTGCTAAGCGTCGACTTGTAACTGCGTTACGAATTGCGGCTGATATGCCATGTAATATATGGAAACTTGCCATGTGGCATTATTTGAGTGCAACATTACTCTACAAACTTTGGCTACAATCGGATGAGACGCTATAAATGAGCGCATTGTCACGTTGCAGGTGCAAGAGGCAAGCTCGCAGGCACTCACACGCAATCATAAGGCGAAGTGTATTGTTGCAATGAAAATGATTTGCTTGTCCTATATGCTCAACAACCCTTATCATAGCGTTTGCACTCACACCTCGTCATGCGCCTATAAGTATGCTACAGAAATAGAGCACTTCAGGCTAATAAAAAAATACGGATAAGTTACTTAAGGTGCACTTTACTCAATTTCCTTGTCTTCCTCAGCGCTCATTTATCGTATGTGCAAGTGTATGTGTTTGTATGCGTGTGTGTGTGTGTGTGTACTTGTATCTGTCTGTCTGTAGTGCGTACAAAGAGACGCTGGCAAGCTGCTGCATTCACTGATTCCCGCATGTGCCGAGTTGCCGCGTTGCAGAGCGTTTCGCCACAAAGTGGCGGCAGCGAATCCTCAAGAGTTTCCACTTTATAAATTACAATTTGTTGCTGCGTAATTCACCGCATGATTGAAGTGCGCTGCTTCACTTTGTAATAACAATAAATCTTCTCAACTTTCGCAGATACGAGATACGAGTGTACATATGTCGTCTTAAGCCGCGTGTTGTTGTCTTGCCGCATTTACTGCCCTGCTGCCTCCATTCATTCATTCATTCATTCATTGTCTTTGTGGTAGTTGTTGCTTTTATTATTGTAGTCTGCTGTTAGGAGCTGGCAACATGGAGATGGAGTTTCTAGGAAAATTTATTGTGTTTTGCTCGGCTGCTCTAGTGCGTCGAGATTCAGCGTGCGTCTAAGCGATAGAGTGTCTGCGTAGCCAAAAGCGTTTATGTATATGTGTGGATGTGCCTGACTGTAAGCGAGCGCATTTGTAGGAATGTAATGAGGCGTCGAATTAATTGCGTATGAGTATCGAAGCTAATCGGATATTTAATAAAGGAGATACAGTTATTAGTTGAGCGGCAGTTGAAAAAAGGCAGCAGGGAGGATTTTAGAAATGCGATCGGATTTTAGTAGGTTTATAATTTTATTGCTTTTAGAGAAAATGTTTTCAATTGTTTTAAAACCAATCAAAAACAACTTCTGCACCAGTTTTCATATACGCTTTCAGTAAGCTGATAAAAATTTGAATATTTTCGCGCTTTAAAATTTCAAATATTATAATTCTCAAAATTTCAAAATGTATGTAGTAAGTTAGACTCACCTTTTTTGAGCACGAAACCACATGGATGATCGAAGAGAAAATCACGAAAATGATTACAATCCGGATCCATGCCGGGTTCTTTGCAAAGGCAGGTTGGACGAAAGAATTGAAAGGCTTGCAGTGTCCTTAAGGCGGCTTGACATTTCGTCACAGTAACTGTACTGCATGACACTGTAAGAGAAATGGGCACAAAAGTAGTAAAAGTTTTCTTATATAATTTTGTATTCACTTCTAAAATAATTATATTTTAAGTATTATCATAATTTATATATAATTAATACTAAAATCAATAACGGTATAATTACAATAAATTATTAGTAAAAGCCTAAAGTTGATATAAAAAATTCCTACTGAAAGCAATAACAATGAAAAACAAGTTTTGTCCAGATACATTGATTGGCTCCTGATTTGTATACTTGAAAGTAAACGAATCAGATGGAATTTAAAATTGTGTTATATGGGAAGTTTGCGTGGTTGTGGTACGATTTCCCGCACTGGAATATAAGAATGTAAAAATAATTCTATTTACCAAATTTGGTCGATATCGGTTGAGTAGGTCCCGAGATATCGTCGAAATTTTAATTCGGTGCCTATAAAACGCTTTAGTACCATCTCGGGTATAAAATTTTTTGCTACTTGCACATTTAGTTATAGATTTATCGAACTTTTATAGTCCGAATTCACCCATTATCACAGAGTAGGTAGGGATGTTCTGCACTGAGCGAATTTGGTTATTATAGCTTGAAAACAAAACTTATTAGAGGGTGGAGCCACGCCCACTTCACTTTTTAAACTACACTTTTTTTAAACCGTAAATGTCCTTTGCTAACACAATTCGTTGTACCAAAAAATAGTCTGGTATCTTATTGTGGAGCTTAGCCATGTTCTCGTCTAATGGCGTTTTGTAGCATGACAATAGTTCGATTAGGCCCATCTACTCTCAATTTTTATTCAAGTTGCCGCTGGCACAGATGGACGGACAGACAGACAGTCACTCATACTTCAACTTGTCTCATCATCCTGATCATTTATATATATATCTATACATATATAATTCCATATCTGTATAGATTATTTTTGGGTGAAACAAACAACCGTTAGGTCCACAAAACTATTAACTGCATATATTTGTATTGTCATTAAAAGATGCGCGCAGAAAAGTATGCTAGCTTCGCAGTTGAAGATGAAATCTGTGAATAATTATTTTTTATGCATTCTCTTCGATTGCAACACATTACCACATGGGATAAAAAGTCTCGGGCCCAACAAAAAAAAAAGACAATTTTTTTTGTTCAAAATTGGCTTTATTCATCTATATAATATCTATCCAATCCAATATTTCAATTCCACTTTTGTAGAACTCTTTGTCTTTTGCCTCAAAATAGACACACCACACAAAATATTGCTCACTAAAGGTTGCCTACATTTTGGAGTGTAAAAAAAATTGAACTTTCCAAAGCATAGACAGCATGTTTAGTGCAAAGCTTTTAGTAATAACTAAGCAAGCAAATTGCACAAATTGGAGTACTTCTGAATATTTTAAGTTTTAAAGATTGGGTGTATTTTAAAAATTATTTGATTCAGTATTGGAAGAAAATGATATATTTTTTAAAGTATTTGTTAGAAAAAATGCTCAAATACTGCTATCTAATGAAAAGTGGTAGTCATAAAAGTGATGAAGTGCTATAAAAGCTAATAATTCCTTATATAAATTTAGAGATCCGTATATTACTAAAACACTTTATACAACTTTGGTTAGACCTATATTGGAATATGGCTCTGTGGTATGGAACCCTAGCTACCAAATCCATTCTGACAAATTAGAGTCGGTTCAAAAACAATTTTTACTTTTCGCCTTAGCGCATTTCCGATGGGATGCTAGGGTAAGTCCACCTAGTCTACCTCCATACACTAGTCGTTTAAAACTTATTAATCTACCTACACTTTCTAGTCGTAGGGAAATGCTTGGCATAACATTCTTAGTGAAACTTTTGAATGGAACTGTTTGTAGTTCTTTTCTCCTGTCTGAAATTAAATTTAATATCCCGGTTCGCCTTTCGAGGCAGTTAAGACCTTTACTGCTAAAATCCTGTAGATCAAATTTTGAACTAAACGAGCCATTCCGCCGTATATGTCATGATTTTAATTCTCATTCCAGCACATTTGACTTATCTGACTCACTTTTCAAAATTAAAAAGACTTTATTGTTTTCTTTTAATAAATGAAAATGTAACAATTTATTATATTGTAACTTTAGATGTTAGCTGTTGAAATTTTTGTTTCTGTAGCTGAGCAGTTTTAGATCTCAACACTTTAAAAACTCTTTTGCCTTTTCTGTCTCGGCTAATTCCGCACGTATGCGGATTGCGCCCTTCGAGTCGGTTGGGCGGGAGGAGGGTAATCGTTGGGTTATTAAAAACATGTTACTCATACAATTTTTCTACAAATATTTGCATTATTTTATATATGTATGTATGTGACTGAAAAATACACATAGCTTAAGCCACAAGTACCACAAATGATGAAATATTATGACAAACAGATTGTGCTGACCAACCGACCGCTATTATTAGAATAAATGGCAGATTGGCTGCTGTTTACTACTTTTTATCATATTTGTATATATGAAAGTATGTCTGCGTGTATTTACTATTCAAAGCACAAAAGAGATTCATCCTCAACAAATGGCCTTGAGAACTCCATTTCTCAGTGTCACCGCTAAGCTGTTACAATAAACATTTATTTATGCTTATTCGATTGTGTTAATACTCTCAACTCATAATAGTAAATACACACAATTCATATGAAGATCCTATAATAGTCACATAATAACTGTAAATATATAAAAGATGCACAAAAGAATAGCAGATATATAAATTTTTATGACTTCTGAAGTTTTGGATAAAGCATATTTGAAATACTGTAAAGCTATTATACCTGTTTGAATCCTAGCAGAGAAAAATAATGATCACAGACTACATACATTCTTCTATTAACTGTAAAAATATAATTTTCTCTCAGCTTGCTTGTTATTTATTAAAGGTGATTGCATGCTCAATGTTTCTACTGGGGAAATGGCAGGAAGAAGTATGAGTTTATTTGTTTTTGTTAAGCATAAAGTAAAATTTTTCTCAGATCTATTAATATGTACTCATTGTACTGTCGCTTGTCTGTGTCATGTTATTTACGTTTAATACGAATAATACTATTTTATCTTTAGTTAAGCTTTATTAGTTTGAAATAACAAATGTATTTGTGGATGTATGCATGCCATTTGTTCGTATGTATGTATGTTGCTTTGTACTTGTAGGCACGTTTTTATGTACATATGTATATTCTTTAAATGCCAATTGTGTTCGAATAAAGCGATTAAATAAAACGGCCGATTAAATGATTATATCAAACAGTTTTTACGGTTGAACACCACCACAATTCGATTTTATCGCACACACGCTTTAAGTGTGACCATAAATGTCAATAATAGTCTTCTAAAAATCCACTGGGTCACCACGAACGTCAGAGGCTAATTCTAGTTCGAACTATTTTAGGCTTCAGTTCGCTTCGATGGTAATGTAATAAGTTCTGCGACCCTTGTTTGTGTTATTAAGTACTTTATGAATTAATCTTGGTCTTAATATACATCCAAAATATTTATACGCATTATTTGTGTTAGAAGCTTGTGTTTGGAAAATATTTTATCCTCAAAAAATTGTCTTATCCAATACTTGATGAGAAATGTTCACTTTCAGTTTTATAAAAGGAAAAAAAGTTAATTAATAGTGATAGGCTTTTTGGTTGCAAGATAGAACCCGCCAGCAATATCATTCAAAGAAACTAGCCGTCTCTGGGTGCCATAAATACAAATATTTTTATGCACTAAACAATCTATATTAAGTTTGTAACAATCAGAAGGAAACATCGAAGACCCTATAAAGTACAATATATACCTAATCCGTTCGTCTGTTCTGCATATGCGCAAACTAGTCCTTCAGTTTTTGAGATATCGTTCTGAAAGAAGCTGCTCTTTTGTTGGAGCCGCAGATAAAATCAAATTCTTATATGGAAAACTTTTTTATTTTACAAGATATTTTCACAAAAATTGGCATGGGTTATATTTCAAGGCAATGCTAAAATCTCCGAATGAATTGTTTAGATCGAACAGCTATAGCATATAGCTGTTATACAAATTGGCTGAATCACGTGTTTCGGAGACCAGAACCTAAATATTTCTAAAGCTTTCGACACACGCTATTTGATGATATAGATCTTAGACCCACCAGTATTTAAAAATTGTTCCATAAGCCATAGGCAATATTCAGTAGTTTTTTCGAGTCTAAATTTATAAAAGATTTTTACTGCGTACTTCTGTTTAGAAATAAGGTTTTGAAAAGTTGACAGCGACCCATTAAATACTCTTTCATTGCAAGACGCCTGACACACTAGGCATTCGCCCACATTTAATAACTGAACGAAGGACTTAAGACCGGGTATAAACACTAAAGCCAATGAAGTTAAAAATGAAACGATCTCCGAAAAGGTGGCTTCTGAAATGCGAGGAAACATTGAACTTTATTCATACAACTACGGCGCACTAAAAACTAATTATATAACGTCTTAGGCCTATTCGTCAAACTATGTTTTCTACACTTTATTCCATCTCCTCAGCACAGTTGCTTTTCGTTAGATGGTTTGCGACTAAACAGGGTAGATGTGATCACCACCACAAGACATTTTTTAAAATGATTTTCCTGGTGTGGATTTTCCCGGTCGCACATCTAACTAGAAGATATTTTTCTGATTCAACCCTTTCAAAGAGTAAAAAATACTAAACAATTTATTGAAAATCTCGGAAATTTAGAATGAAACAAACTTTTTGTTTTACTTTAAGTGGGATATTTAAGACAGACTACCAGGTCAAAATTTTAAAAATACTTTTTTGTCAAACTTTAAAGTCTGGCTATAATTATACTAGGCACAATGGCAAGACTCATTTTAATGCAACCACTTAAGTTGCCACTTTGGTTGTATTTCAAAACAGAAAAAGGCCTTTTGTACAATTTGTTATTGTTTCAAATTTCGCTTTGTTTGCATTCGCAATTTATTTAATTGCATTACGGTTTGGGAAGCCAAACAGAAGCAATTAATTCAGCAATTCGTAAAGGCAACACATA